ATTGGAGTTTGTGAATGGTAATTGAGGCTCTATCTTCGAGGTTGTGATGTAGGGGCAGAATTAGGCCACATCCACTACCAAGTTGGTTAAGCAACTTGGTACCAAAAGGGTTCTCCATTTCTCTTATATATATATATATATATATATATATATATATATATATATATATATATATATACACACACACACACCCACACACATACACATGTATATATGTATGTATACATGCACACACACATAGATATACACACATACATACATACATATCATCGCAATTTCTAAATTTCTAAAAATTATACTTTCCATTTTCTATTTCGTTCCTTTCTTTTCTACGGAGCCAAATGTGCCATTTTTTTGTTTTTGTAGGTTATCCTCATTAACGCCCATTGTTTCTTTGGTATATATTTGTTGCTTTCAACTCAATAGTATGGACTTATATAAGCTTGATTGTAGATTTTTTTTTTAGAGAAGGTTGGATCAGACTTAAGACAAAATTTTGAGAATGACTTTTAACATTATTGAAAAGAACATGAATGGGATCTACTTCCACAAGGGGTATCACATGTGATTTTCAAATGCACAATAAGATATAAAAGTGCTAGTTAAGGAATTATTCAACAAAACTTGAGGGGGTTAAATGACAATTCTTAATTTCGGGGGTTGGCTCGAAAATGACCAAATGTAAGGAGGCTTTGTGAAATTTAGCCTTAAAATTTCTCAATGCCATATTTCGTCCTTCAACATAAAAGGTAAATTACTTATTGAATAAAACTTCACATATTTTTGTTTCAACATTTTATTTTTATAATCGAATTCTTATATAATCTTTTATGGCATAATACATGTCTACGTGCAATGCATGTGCACTATACTAGTCTTCTAATACTATTATAAAAGTGTGTTGGATGTTAAAACATTTTTCCCAAAAATTCTCTCAAATTTCTAGAAGCGTCCTTTAAATTACTATAGGTATCAATGTAAATTCGTGCATCTTCATGATAAAACACATACATATACATTACACGAACATACACACATACTCAGTATGATAAATATCATAATAAATGCAATATATACATTATTAAAAATATTCAACAGTAATTTTATGTCTCCTTTAAACATATTCATACTATATTCATAACTTTCTTATTAGCTAAGCTAATTACATAAGATAAATATTATTCCAATAAACATAATAACTACTATTAATAATTATATATAAAATTATTAATTTTTTGCCACTTTAATTTTGTATTTAATAGGAAAAACAACTGCTATAAAAAAAGATAAATAGTTTTCTTAGGTATTAAAATATTATATAATAATTATATTATATTATATTATATAGAAGATAATAAAATTATAAGTAATATAAGTAAATTATATTAGTAATTAAAGATAATTGAGTATTTCATTATAAACATAAATTAACATTTAAAAGTAATATTTAATATAATATTATACATAACTTGAACACATTATATTATATTTCACAATTTTATATACTAAAGAAGCCTCTATTTAATCCAGTAATTAAACAATTCTCTTCATTATCATTTTCATTTGGTAACAGACAATACACTATCTTCTTAAACTCCCCATTAACACCTTTATATAAATGCACACACCCCTCACAAGCCAAAAAAGGAGGAAAACCCATCCATTTAAGATCCTTGAAATTAATAATTAGTAGTTAATATAAATATCTTTTGCCTCCAAGTCATATGTTCCTACTCTAAGAGCTATTTTAAAATAAAAAACAACAACAGCGTACCCTAAGAATTGGTTCCGCTTTGTCTTAATTGTTGGTTTCGGGTGTAGACCCAAACCTTGGAACAAGTATGCAAAGCAAAGATTTCACTAAGTTAAAAAATCAGGCGAACTTGGAAATTCAGGCGAAGCTCGAAGCTGAGTTGGCGAACCTGTAATTTAGGCGAGCTTTGGAAGTTCAGGCGAGCTTTGGGGGTTCAGGTGAGCTCCAAATGCAGGCGAACTCCAAGTGCAGGCGAAGCTGTTCAGGCGAGCTTGACTATATTCAGGCAAACATAAGTCATACATGCGAGCTTTGCAATCAGGCGAACTCGCAGAAAGCAGATTCCTAATCTGTTTTTACCTAGGGTTTCCCTATAAATAGGGAACCCTGGCCGCCACTTAAACACGAGTTTTCCAAAGCGATCTCCAGAGCGTTTTTTTGACGGCGGTTTTTTGCAACGCCTTGAGCGACGATTTTTCAGAGAAAAATCTCGTGTCTTGAGAAATAAAAAAAAGAGTTCTTTTTTAGTGATCTCAAGGAGTTTGAGATCATCTCTTGCAAGCTTTGTAATCTTCTTTAATATTCAAAGGAAATTTTGTGTGGCTCTCGAGGATGTAGGCAAGTCTCGAGGACGTAGGCAAGTCTCGAGGACGTAGGCAAGTTGTCGAACCTCGTTAAAATTTTGGTGTTCTCTCTTCTATTTTTTCCTTGCAAAGTTTTCTTTTATTTGCTGTGATTTCTTCTTACCTTCTTTCAACACAAGATCCGGAGGGCACGTTCCGCGAGAGGGTTCATTTGACAGGTTGTCGATAGGACGAATCTCCAACATTAATTTCGTCCACACTTAGAAATGTCACCTCTTGCTTTATCTTCTTCTCTATATAACAAAGAAAATAGAAACCCTAATCTAAAAATTGACACTCATCACTCTCAATCAAAGAGAATGGAAGCTGCATGCAAAGAAAAACAAACAAGCTTTTTGTTCATTCCCCAACCCAAACTATACCTCCGTCGGCTTCCTCTTGACCTATTGCTCTTTGGTTGTTATTTTAATTTAACTTAATTTTGTGACTTTTGTTGATTGATCAGGAGTGATCATAGGTCAATTTGGAGATAAGGATTCTAGAAACTTTTGAAAACTTATCATCAGGTGAATTTTATTTAAAAAATTGTTACTTATTTATGCTTTTTATTCATTTGATTTTACAACTGCAGGAGTTTGATGCTGTAGCGAAGATCATGGTGATTAAAGATGACAGGGGATTCCACTAAGATATTGTTTTTTATTAGATGATCAAAAGGAGCATTGTGAGGTACTGTTCTTAATTGGATATGTATATCTTGTGTTCATCTTTTTAAGACAAGGTGTGAAATGCATTTTTTGTTAAACTGTTTTCTGGTTATGCTCAACTTCACAAACCTTATGTTGTGAACTCTAACTTCGATGAATGGGACGAGTGAGAGGGATTAGTAACGTCTATTTTGTTTTAATGTTTATGCGTACAGAAATAGACTTTAGTATGCAACTTTGATTCACTGGTATTTATTGGATTTAGACTATTTAGTTAAGCCATCTTAGCATTTGCATTATAGGGAGATGAGCTGAAACTTTTGTTGATTGTGAAGCCTATTAACAGTCTATGAATTTTAGTAGCTCAAACTCATACAACATAGTAATATGTTTTGTTATAATTTTCTTAACATGAGGATCTAAGCTAACAAAGATAAAGGGTCACAGCATGGCCTAGAATGTGCTGTGAGAAATACTAAACTACATGCCCGTAAATTAATGTCTAAGAAGTTGTTGAAGAACGGAAATTGGGGTGTGAAAAGCAAAATTCCTATCAAATGCATATAATAATACTGGTAAATTTCATGAAATTCCTAAAAATATTTATGATTACAACAAATATTTGAAGCAAAAATATTTAAGTTGGTTCTATTCAACTGTATGCCTTCAAGTTTGTTTATGAACATAGGCGGATTGCTTAATTCTTCTGCTTTTCGAGATTGAAGCGAAAAATGTTAATTTGGTTCTATTCAATTGTATGCCTTCAGGTTTGTTTATGAGCATATGTGGATTGCTCAATTATTCTATTTTTTGAGATTTAAAGCAAAAAAATGTAATTTGATTCTATTCTATTCATTTTTTTTGGACTTTCAAGTTGGAGAAATAGCAGGGTGCTTACCTCATCATTGTTACATGTTTCACTTGCAGTGAATTCATACTGGCTCATTAGGCATAGCCGGATAGCCCTAGGCAACTTTGTAATTAAATGGGAAATTCAAATCACATTCTCCTTTCTTGACAGAATATTTCAATTTTTATATACTGATGTTTGCTAACTTTTTTGTTCCTTTATATAGCCTTATTTTGCCAAGCTGCTTCATGTGGCTATATCTTTGTGAATTATGATATTAAAATTGAAACTTACCTTCTGCTTGATATATAATAGTTTGTACATATATGGGAAAAAGAATTGTATAGGTAGACTAATGAATTATTATGTTAGTTTAATATATATACTTGATAAACCTACATAGATTGTCTATGAAAACACTTGACAGAGACAATAGTGCGCAAATATATAAATATATTGTTTATGAAAATGTTTTCTAAAAATGACCACGTGCAACGCACGTTCACCATTCTAGTTGTTATAAGATGAGCCAAAGAAAATCAAATGCCGGTCTCTAATTTCCATGAAATAATATAGGCCAGATTACTATTGGCGATTGACGAACGAGTCTATACTGAGGTAGTGAAGCTCTCTTCTTTTTTCCCTTGCCTATCCCAAAGAAAATTTGACATGTTGTCGTGTCGTTTCTAATGGTTGCTTTTCGACCTTACTTGTAAATTGCATTATTGATCATATTTAAAATTTGAAAATAAATGTTAAAATATAAAAGAAATTGTTAGAACTGAATAATTACTTATCTTTTCTTTAATTCTTTTATAGTAGGGTGATTTCTAGTACTAAGTACCCTAATTTAAATACAAAAACCAAGCAGTGGGACCAAAATCACTTTTTTTGGGTGCAAACAAACAATAATTCTCGGAATCTCCTACCAAAACTAACTACGCATTCCACTTTCCTACAAACCAAACAAAAGATTAAAAACTTTGGGAAGTTGTATTAAGGTGAGTAACAGGGTTAATGTTTGAAGCAAATTGTAATCACACTCAACAATTTATCGAAAACTTCGAAGATGCTACAAATGTATCAAGCAGAGAAAATAATCTTACTCGTTCCAGTTTCGAATTGGCTCGAAGAGTCTTCAGCCTCTTTCGGCAAGCGCTTCCTGCTTGCTCGATCGAATCCTCCTAAGAGCCATTATTTTTTTTTTCTGCAGCAAGATCGAAACCCTAGAGAGCGAATCGCAAGAAAATTAGAGGGAAATGGGATTACTAGGGATTTTTAGCAAAGAAGTAGAAAGAGCAAGAGGGAAAAGAGGGTGAGAAACGCGCATGCGGGTCCGTTTTTAAAAAACGGGTTATTTACCCTGATCCGAAAGGGTGGCACTGGCCACACCCCAACCACAATCTCAACCACAGCCTTTCTCTCATTTGTTACAGTGCATCGGGCCTCACATGAGATTTTAAAATTTAAAATCTCGTATGGGACCCGATACACTATAGTAAATGAGAGAGGGGGTGTGGTTGAAGATGTGCCCCTATCATTTTCCGATCTGAAATGTGGTTGGGAAAAACGACTATGGGAATCATTGGAGTGGGCCCGATCCTACTTGTTTTGCTCTGGCCCCATCACCAGTCCAGGCCTTCGATGGCAAATGGGGAAAATAAAGGATTTTTGTGATATTAATCCCCCACAAATCTTTTTCATTATGAAATTAGCTACCCAAATCTTTCAACATGGTCCTAATTAGAGGAACTAATTATAAAACACTTAAAAGATTTGGGGGCCTAGTTTTGAAATATGAAATTTTGGGAAGCAATTTTACAATGCTTAAGGATTCAAGGGACTGATTTCAAAATATGCAGATTTGGAGAAGATTTGGGGGACTTAGAGCATCTCCAACAACTTCACCATAATTACTCTAAAATAGGGAAGCAAAATGCTAAATTATCTAAAAAAAATTGCTCCAAATCCAACAACCTCCCCATTTGAGGGATTTAGGCATTTATTACAACTATAAAACAACCTACATACTCAATAATTATTAAGAAAATAAATGTTTGATATTTTATTATAACAATATAAAATTCAATAAAGTAATAGATATATTTTTTTCTTCTTTGGAAAATATGAGATATTTATGATATTGTTATCTTCAAGAATTTGGAGAAGGAAGAATTTTTACAGAATGCTGCAGATTTGGGTAAAGACCCTCTTTTTTTCTTCTCTATTCTCATTTTAGGAAATGAGATGTAGAAACTGCTAGACCTAAAAATAGCTCTTTATTCTCTAAAATTGAGTATTTTAAGAAGATGGGGAAGCTGTTGGAGATGCTCTTATATATGAGAAAACACAAAAATAAAAATAGCATGTTAAAGATAGAATGACAAAGGAACTTAGATTTGAAATTATTCTGCCTATATAGTAAAAAAGTTGGACAAATTTTTAAAAGAGATCCATTTGTGAACTTAATCCCAAATAACGACCTCATTCAAACAAAATTACAAAAACCGACCTGGTTTCAGCCTCAGCGCTGAAACCATGTCGGTTTTTGAAAAAAATTCCGAAATTTCACGTGAGTTGAACTCCCATGAAGTTTAGTAGATCTGCTAAACTTTACGGGAGTTTAACTCCCGTGAAGTTTAGCAGATCTACTAAACTTTACGGGAGTTCAACTCCCGTGAAGTTTCAAAAAAAAAATTTCAAAAACCGACCTGGTTTCAGCGCTGAGGATGAAACTAGGTCGGTTTTTACAATTTTGTTTGAATGATGTCATTTTTTGGGAATAAAATTCTAAATTGGTCTCTTTTGAAAATTTGTCCGTAAATAGTTTGAAGGCACGTTATGAAACGTTAGAGCTTTCATATACTAAATAACCTTTATACAGATATAGAAAGTATTGGATCTCCTCCCATATGTCTTCGTTCAAATAAGAGTCTTACATTCTCCTCTTTCTAGTACTATATTAAGTTAAGATGTTGCATCCTAAAATTCACCAAATTTAATGAGTCCTTAAAAGTTGGTCATGTGTCATATTAATGGGCAGAGTCATATAATATGAAAGTCAGATTCAGGTGTAAGCACGCTCATCTTGTTGCGCGTCGTGCGAAAGCATGCTCGCAAACCAAACGAGTCGGCGAGAGATGAGAGAAGAGAACTAAACTAAACACGAGTGCAATCACCAAAAATACGACACAAATCAAACCAACACAGAGAATTTACGTGATTCGGCAAATTGCCTACATCCACGAGGAGAGGATTAGGAGATTTTACTATATGGAGGAGAAATATAATTGGTTACAACTCACACAATCACTCAAATATAACCCTAACCAAAGATCTCAACTCCCTCACAATATCTCCCTCTCAATATGCTCAAAAGACTCTTTTTTCTCTCTTTAATTCTCTATACCAATTTTCTCTTCTAAAATGTTCCATATATATAGAAATCCTAAAACCAAAAACATACTAGGAATTCTAAAACCAAAATCAAAACAGATTAGGAATCCTAATAACCTGTTATTAAAAATAGATTAGGAATCCTAATAACCTGTTATCAAAACAGATTAGGAACCTGTTATCCAACAATTCTCTACTCCGGCGAAGTGTTTACAAAACTAAGCTGACACCAACAAAAGCACCAATGTGTCGTCTCTCCAAATCTGGCTGCACCAATGTGGTTGTCTACGTACCCCCTCTCCCAAGGGATCAAGCTGCCCGTAGTTCATTCAAATGGTAGCGAATGGTCTCAATAATCACGAATTTGTAACAAGTTTCTACAATGATCAAACTTGTTACTTTGGACCACATTTGTAAACATATCATTTGGATTATATTTTGTATGGACATTCACGAGCTTCACATCCCCATCTTCAAGAACATCTCGAACGAAGTGATAACGAACGTAGATATGCTTCGTTCTCGCATGAAAGGTCTGATTCTTCACCAAATAAATAGTACTCATGCTATTACAATAAATGGTGAAGGATCGCTGTGAAAAAACACCAAGATCCTCCAAAAGTCCTTGAAGCCAAATCGTCTCCTTAACAGTCTCAGTAATCGCCATATACTCTGCCTCCGTCGTCGACAAAGCCACCGTAAACTGCAAGATGTATCTCCAATACACCGGCGTATGGGTCAAAGTGAACACATACCTCGTCGTCGACCGGCGGTTATCTAAATCTCCAACGTAGTTCGAATCTACATATCCAATATATAGCTGCCCACCGCTAGTGTTCCACTCAAAACCAAACTAACATTGAGAGTACATTGAATGTACCTCAAAATCCATCTCACAACATCCTAATGACCAGGACTCGGGTCGTGCATGTATCTCAAAACTATACTCATTGCCTGTGACAAATCCGGTCTCGTACAAACCAACTTATCCTCCTCTGCAGCTCGAACCCCCAATGACTGAGTCATATCAATTCCTTTATCAAGATCACCATGAAGAAATGCATCCAATTGATCTAATTCTGATTCATACTGTGCACCAAAGCTAGCAAGATTCGAATCACCAACCTAGACTTGAACCTCACCGGAGTGCCTTCAATGCCCTCCTTCTTCGTATACACCCACTTGCAATGCCTTCCGTCCTTTTGGAAGCTCGACAAGCTCCCATGTGTCGCTCCTATGAAAAGACTCTATCTCCTCCTGCATAGCTACCTGCTATAGATCAGCCCCCGAGCTCTAATCGGCCTCTCTAAATATAGTAGGAACCATCTCATCGACACTCTCCACCAGAAGTGCATATGCAACAATTATATATGTATACTTAGCTGGCATCCGTATGTCTCTTCTCTGTCTCCGAACCATAATAGAATCTTTGAACCGTCGGTCCCTGATCCTGCTCAACTATACATGTATCCTCCAAATCATCATTGTGCTCACCTGGTATCACTTTAGTTGACACTCTAATGGATACGGTCTCATCTAAACAATGTGGAGCTGTATCAATCTCCACCACCTGCGATATCTCCAATGTCGGGTTGCTCTCCACCTGATGAGAGTTAGGAAGCTTTAAGATAGAAGCTTTATCGAATATGACGTCTCTGCTCAGCACAATCTTCTTATCAACTGGATCCCAAAGCTTGTATCTCTTGACACTATGCTTGAATCCTACAAATATGGCCTTCCTAGCTCAAGGTTCTAATTTATCTTTTCTAACATGATAAAATACAGGACACCTAAATACCTTGAGCTGATCATAGTCATGTGCTGACTTTTCCAACCACATCTCCATAGGGGTTTTTTCCTCAATCGTAGATGAAAGCATCCTATTAATGAGGTGACTTGCATAAGAAAGTATCTCAGCCTAAAAGATCTTCTCCAAACCACTATGCGATAACAAACATCGGACCTTCTCCAGTAAAGACCAATTCAACCCTCTGTCACCCCATTTTGCTGCGGTGTGTGACTAACTATGAAGTACCTCTCTATGCTCTCGTCTTAACATAGCTGCTGAAAGGGGTCAGAAGTATACTCAACGTCGTTATCAGATCGTAATGTCTTGATCTTTCTTCCAGTGTACAGTTCCAATCTCTTCTTCCACTCTACAAATATATCTATCACTTTACTCTTCTTCGCCATGATGTACACCCAACAACCCCTAGAATAGTCATCTATAAATGTGACGAACCAATGTTGACCACCAAGTGATGTTGTCTTGGTGGGACCCTAAACATCTGTGTGCATGTAATCTAGGATACCCCTCGTCTTATGAATGACCATCCTGAACTTCATCTTTGTCTTCTTGCCATGTACGCAGTACTCACAGAATTTAACTTTTCCACTCTTGGCTCCCTTCAATAGCCCCTGCTTGCATAATACCTACAGTGACTTTTTACATGTGTGCCTCCAACCTATAGTATCAAAGTCTGCTGGTGTCCGTCTCTGAAACAGCTGAAGCTACCTGGCCAATATTCTCGGTGCTCCCCTTTAGATAATACAAATTTTTACAGTGGACTCCCTTCATCACCACCAAAGATCCCTTAGTAACCTTCGCTACAGCGTTCTAAAATGTCACCTTGAATCCCTTCTCCTCTAAAGCTCCAACTGAAATACGATTTTTCTTCAACCGATGAACAAATCGCACTTCATTCAATTCATGAACTACTCTATTGTGCATCCGAATCTTGGCGGTACATATCCCATAAATACCACATGATTGATCATTTCACATGACTACAACACCCCCATCGAGTCTCTCAAATAATGCAAACCAATCTCGTCTGGGAGTCACATGATATGTAGCACCAGAATCAAACATCCAATCTGATGCATCTACATTGTTCACCTCTGGAGTAATC